TTCAAAGAGAAGCACTGAACATAAATGCATAACCATCCATTCTAAATATTTTGAATATTGCTCATACTTAACATGAAATCCAAATATGGAAATTCGGATATATGCACGTGTACAAGCAACACTCATTAGTTTGCAGTAGATGTCATCCTCCCTCTCTCTCTCTCTCTGCCTCTCCTTGAGACTTCAATTCCAACTGTTCAATGTTGATAACTGGTTGATAAACAAAAAGAGAACTTTACAAAATAATTGTTCAGTTGAAATAACTGCAATTTATATCAGATATATCGACGGTGACATAGCGGTTAGGACATTCGCCGACCATGCACATGGTCCATGGTTCGATACCCGGCCACAGATGCACTCCTTCCTTTACCTCGCTAAGCCAGGAATAATGCTGGTGAAGAGGAAAGGTTGGGCATGAGGCTAGCAACCCCATCCTGTAAAATAAACAATACTACAGAAACTTCAAGCCACTAGCTTGAAGCCCTATGTTCCACTGGGGAACGTGAAGGGAAAAAAATTATATCGATAGAGAAGTCGACAAAATGAAATAAGAATGATGTTAGGCGACTGCTGCTGCTGCTGCTGGAGTCTCCGTTGATTAAATCCTAACTACTAACATTGCCAAGTCGATTTCAGCAAAAAGATCAAAACCTCAGCAACGCAACGCAAACCGCCAATAAATGACTTCACTGATGACTTTCATCATCTTGAATTTAATTTCTCAGCCTTAAGTCCTATCTGACTGACGGATACAATTCAAAGGAAATTCACCGAAAATATTCCTTCAAACATTGAGAAAAAACAAAAACAATTCAGCAAAGAATATCCTTTTCGATAATTTCCTCTTCTAGCTCTACAATCATACACATATATATATATATATATATGCACACATGGAATATCCTAGAGTGGTCGTCATTAACAACATTGGTGTTTTTAAATACTATCGATTTATTAAGTAAGATCAGTGGAATCACAGTTCACTGGAGATGCATAAATTATAATAAGCATAAAAATGTAATAGCAAATAGAATATCAAATAAAATTAAACAAATTTCCACAACAAATTGAGGATCGTTAGAACCTAGATGGCCAAGGTAATAAGTACAGTGTCTGAACCAGCTTCTTCTTTTGGATACATAAGTGTAAAGTTTCTTAATGTGGATTCCGATAACTTCAGCGACATGTAGAACATCCTGGACAAATTTAACGGTGTTCATCCTGTAATAAATTTTACCATAGCGGAAGAAAAAGATTCTACTATTTCATGTTTGGTTGTCCTTATGACCAGAAAGTATGTGTAGAAAACCTACATCAACTGGCCAGTATACTCATTTTTTCAGCTTCGTACCTTTGAAAATCAAACGTAATCTTATAAAGTGCTTGGTCCACAGAGCGAACGTGATTTTCTCTGATGAATGTCTTAATGAAGGACTTATTTTATTATTGAACAGTTGTTGAATGAGAACGGTTATCCAGAAAAATTCGTCAATACGAATATGAATCAAAAATCGAGGCAGACCAACGTACCAACAGTTTCGAAAAAGACCTTATTCTTACAACTTCAGTTCCTCAGTGATAACATCAGTGATATATTAACACGATACTGAAGGAATGCGGTAAAAAGAGCATTCCCTACTGCTGAATTACGCTGTCTTCAAAACCATACATTTTGCTTTCGGGAGTAAAAGACAAACTGTCTAATTTCCCCGCTTCTATGTGTATCTACTAGTTTGACTGCTCCTGTGTAGCCAGTTATACAGGGCGTGCAATTAAGCGTGTTCATCGTCAGATTTCCGAACATCACCGTGCGTGGTTAAGTAAAGGACAAACAAAATCCACTTTTAGCGCTATTCTATCTCAACTTGCAGATACAAAACACAAGATTGTTGACAGCATATTGCTGAGGCCGTTGGGATCCACATTAACAAACCTTACTTATTTATCCAAAAGAAGAAGCTGGTTCAGACACTGTACTTATTACCTTGGCCATCTAGGTTCTAACGATCCTCAATTTGTTGTGGAAATTTGTTTAATTTTATTTGATATTCTATTTGCTATTACATTTTTATGCTTATTATAATTTATGCATCTCCAGTGAACTGTGATTCCACTGATCTTACTTAATAAATCGATAGTATTTAAAAACACCAATGTTGTTAATGACGACCACTCTAGGATATTCCATGTGTGCATATATATATATATATATATATATATATATGATTGGAGAGCCAGAAGAGGAAATTATCGAAGAGGATATTCTTTGCTGAGTTTTTTCTTTGTTTTTTCTAAATCTGAATTAAATTGTTTAAATTATATGACACAAACAAAATGAGGTAATGACATTTCAACACACACTTCACTCTGTCTGTGTGGCAAGTGCTCATAGTCCAGATCGTGGATACCTTTCTTAACCTGTTGCTCTACAAGTAATATTGTGGTGAAAGCTGTCTGCTAGCCAAAATTGCTAGACAGCAATTTGCGTCAACGTTTACTTCCTGAATCTTGGTCATCATGAGAAAAGAACAAGAACAAAGACTTTGCGTGGGCGGATACAGATTAGCACGTATATGGTCTGACCATCAAAGGAACGGCCACAAAGAGATGACAGACTAACTTCCAGTGAGAAAATGATTAATCAGAAAATTTAAAACAGTTAGTCCCTTTTATAAATTTGGATAGCGTTATTAGAAGACGGAGATTATCTGAAAAGGTATGTGATGTATTTGCGCTATGCATTTCGAACAATCTGATCACACATTTACTTGTCAAGTCGATATATTTATATATGAAAAGGTTAAATTAAACAAAGTGACAAAAAAAGGATTTAAGAATTATTAGCACAACGTTCGGTAATCCAATCAAACAAGGATTACCAAGGTAGGTTAAGAGTAATAATAAACTGTTTTTGAATACACAGGTGGGGGGGCTTAAGTGCCGTTTCTCTGTTAGTAATAACGAATAATAATGTACATAATGTACAATCTATAAATATCTCTTGATTTCTTCAATAGGCGGTCTGTTGCCTGGCCCTTGTCTTCTGTCGTTACAATGTTATTTTTGATAGTATACCTTCAAACACTAGTTTAGATATAACCTAAAGTGACTTCTTTTTGATAAAGAAAACATCTTATACTAATGTCGACAGTCCTACCAAAGAGAAATCCAGCTAGGAGAATATCAAGCTTACCACCAAAGAAAAGAAAAAAAAAACCTCAACTAAGTACTTACAAATAGATTTATTAATGAACAAAGGCTATAAAACCGTAATCTAGTCATTACATGTATGTTCATGTACTTGGCAATGAAATACATTTATTGCATGATGACAGGTAAAAAACACATCATCTAGTTAACTGTTCAAACCTTAGAAGGTGAAGTGACTATCAAAGCAGTAACGTTCAAATTCAAGAATTCATATCTGCATTATGTGTTGACAGGAAAAATTGAGTCCAAAAAAAATATCAAAAACAATGTTGAATACAGACGTCCATCTCAGACGTCTATTAGCGTACTAATCATTTCTGAAGATTGACACTACTAACATTCTGACATAAATTTACCGGACAACACACAACTTATGAGTGTTGTAACGATTACCTTATATATACCACATTGTAAATCTGTTTTTAATACATTTTCATCAAGAATTGCGATATTAACTCATATGCATATATATATTTAAATGCTTTAAATCCTGTTAGTTGAAATCAGCATTAATCAGTGGATGCTAAGAGTAAAGAATAGACACCAAAGTCAGACTACTTTGAGACAACCCATCAGGTCGCTCAGCATTACAGAATGGATGCTCTTCACAATCTTCGTTGCAGGTTTCATCCTGATTCAGCATTAAGGTTAGGGTAAGTTTAAGGTGGGGTTATGGTTAAGGTTGAGATGAAACTTGCAACGAAGATTATAAAAAGCATACATTTGTAATGCCTGGAGATCTGATTAGTCCGTTCAAGGTCATTTGACTCTGGCCTCTCAGTTCATTATGACAACAACATATTGGGATCTCGGTAGCAAAGCCAAAGTTGAACAGTGTTTGAAGGTGTTAGAAAAAAAGGTGCTATCATATTTACTGGCGTAAGCGGAAGAAAGAAACAAAGCAGCACATAAAAGAAAAAAAGAGAGAGAAAAGGAAAAGAGAACGTTGTACCTACAAATGATATGAGTTGGAAAGACGAGATCCAGTTGTTCTACTGACTATTTAAGAAGTTATAGGTGTCACGCCTAATGCTTTCTTTATCACACAGAACACGAGCTAAGTAGGGTATGGTTGAGTTTTTGTACTTCCTGGTGCGAGCATATAGTTTCCTATATAGGCTTCTGGTTTTACCTGATGAGACGCAAGGGGAGAGTTGTGAATGAAGAGGGTGGTGTGAGTTAGATTAAATGGATTTGGCCCATTTTTCACATGAGTCCATGTGCCTGTCAACCAGAATATTAACAAGCTGGTTAACTGGCACGTTGATTACCCTGCTGACAACCTTTAACATCCTGCGTAATAAGATATAGTCTTTCTTCAGTAGTCCTGGAAAAACTAAGGGGGAACAATAGAGAATAATAGGCAGAATGCGAGAGTTAACGAATTGTAGGAGTAAGGGTTGGATTATACCAGAATGTCTAACTTCTTGATGTAGAAGGTAAGACGGAATATTTTCTTAGAAATCGCCAAGATATGAGACGACCAGGAGAGATCACCAGATAGAATGATGCCTAGGTATTTAATTTCCGACTTGGTTTCTATTTCAGTGCCATCTATGTTGCACACCTCGTGAGAGGTAACCAGTTTGTTTAGGTCGGATTTATGCCTAAAGGTGAAATTGACTGTTTGGCATTTGGAGGAGTTTAAGGTAAAAACCAACTAATGCGTAGGAATTCAGACACACCTCCACACACACACACAAAACAATTTCATGAAATTTATAGCAATACAATTTCTCAGCAACAACAAAAAACAACTTCATCTGAAAGTATGCTCAATAACTTACCAGTTTTTTCAAAGTGTTTTGTTAGCGTACAAAACGATTGTAAAGATGAATTAAATCCAGTTACTGTGCTGTTCAGCTGTACGGTATCTTTACACTGTGTCCTTATCTCATTTCCATTACTGAAACCACTATTATTATTATGATGATTTAGATGATGGTGATGATGATGTTGACGGGTGTTTTCTGTACCAGATGTTATAAAATGCATACTTGTTGTCACTGATGTTGTTGCTGCTGCTGCTACTGATGATAATGACGAAACTGGTAATGCTTTACTTGTTATTACTGAATTATTTTTTGATTGATTTATTATAGATAATAATTCAATATTTTTCTGAAGTGTAGATGATAATTGATGACTGGAGAATAAATTGGAGGATGTTGAAGAGGGAATAAATGTTGAACAAGTTGAATAGTCTGTTGAATTTGTAGCAACAGTTAAAGGTGAAGTGAATAACTGTCTTCTACAATTGTTAACATCAACAATACTGTTATTATTATGGTTATTGTTCTCATCGTCGTCGTATGTAGCGATAACAGCATCCAATTCGTCTAAAGAACACCGAACTTCTTCACTGCTGTTTATAACAAAGAAACAAATAAAAGTTTTTTTTACAATATGTGTGATTTATTATCAATATTGTGAAATCGACTGAAATGTGTTAGGAAAACTGTCGTTTTCAAAAATGAAACTATTTTCCAGAAGAAAATAACGGAGAATTATATTCTTTGCTTTTTTTTTGTAAAACAAAAAAGGAAAATACTACAAAACTGTAAAACTTTTTAATCGATTTGAGAGATAAAAATTTCGATAGGACGAGAATACACATGGGGCAATGACATGGGAGTGAAAGTTAATTAGTTAGTAGTGCTTGCAAATATTCTTACTTTTCCTATTAATAATAATACATTAATTATTTCTGTTGGACACTAGAGTTAGTTCACTAGTATCATATGGCCTCCACATAGCAAAATTGACTGACAATAGTATTTAGTCTGCACCAAACAAAGGGGACTAGATACATTATACTACTTACTAACTAGTGTCCAAAAACAAAGGATCCAATACAGTAATCCTGCTGGAGGTGAATCGTGAGCCTTAACAACTCCTCAGTGGTAACGTCTCTGACTGTAGACGGCAATGGGTTTGAATCTCAGAAAGAGGGACTTGAGTTCCTTCAAGGTGACTGACTAGTGAATGCCAACAATCACGAAATCTAGCTAAGTTCAAGGCTTCCAGTGGTCGATTGCCTCCAACCGTCTAACAACTATAATACATAATCCAGAAATATAAATAAAATTAGGAAACTTTGATTTCTAAGAGCTATATATATTCTCATGATAAAAGGTAGAAATAACTTTTTTCCTTGCCTCCGTAAAGTACCTGATATAGCCTAGGGTGGGTAGACTTCGGTCTACTTCGTGAAATGCTCTCCTCTCATGCGGTCGCGTATTCATTGCCCTTGTCACATAAGTCACATTTACTGTATTCAACCATCGAGGGAGAGGGGTTTCTCACAAAAGTGAAAAGGTGAATACGTTTAAAATCGGACTGATGGACATGCACGTCTGCCTAAGAGACAGCTGATCAATACTCGTTGTACACTTATGGTGTACATGGCCTCCAGAATTCCAACGGGTCGAATGGTGCATAAACCTGTTTTCATCATCATTGTCCACTATGCGAAAGTAGCTCCTAACGCTGTTCTACTGCCTTGTGGAGGACACTTTAAGTCAAGGGCTTAGCGGGGTGGCTCCTTGAAATAACCACTTACTCCGGTCTCGGTATCCGGGCTCTATACCAACCCTCGCAAAAATTACGCGGGTTCGTGTGACGCATCTCTCGGCACCCATACATGATGTAGCCAATTTGTCAGTATGAATAATTATTTCGTTAATTTTCTCTACTATTAAGAAGCATTATTCACTGGGCATAAATTCCACATCCCTCAAATGTAGTTTTCTTTGTTTTTCCACTTTAGATTATCCTTAACCCACCATTAAAAACCGATAAAATCAATTAAAACGCCTTATTTCAAATTCTAGGTTAACTGAATCACAATTTAGTGGCTACTTGGTCTGTCACTCTCCTAATAATTGTCGGAAAAGAACTGTAGAATATTTTTCTTGATATTTTTAAAAAAAATTTTTGTATCTGTGTAAAACTGAATGAATCTTCGTACTGGTATACATAACTCGACTGGGTAGGTAGGCGTAAATATAATAAATAATTATTGATAATTGTACTGAATACAATGCTTCGTTTATTACTTTGTGTGTGATATATACAAACACCGCATGAAGATCCTTTATTCTACTAAACATGTGAAATGTAATCTAATTTATCGTAAAATTTGATATTTACATATCTTTGACTACTGATAACTTAAAAGTACTGTTTATCCCCTTTCTATCAGTAATGAACGATAAGACAAATGAATATTATTATTGTTTCCTTTAATTCTCAGAGGAACATAGGGCTTCAGCCGTGCGTCTCCATTGCCTTCGGTTCTCTACTAGAGTCTTCACCTGGCTCCAAGTCTGCCCACACGTTTCCATCTCCTCTTCACATGACCTCCTCCATGTCACCATCACACTGACGATCAACTCGCCGCTTCCCTTTCGGGTTGCACTCGAGCAATGGCTTGTCTAGTGATGTCACTTGATGGATTGTTTCCTCAAAGTATGGCCAGCCAATCCATCTCCATTTCTTCCTGCCTATTTGTTTCACAATCGGTTCCTACTCGGTTGGTTCGCTCATTGCCAGAGATCTCTGTTGTTGGTCTTTTCTGGCCGGCCATCTGATCTTGAGCGAAGTATTGAGCGAAGACAACTGTTAATGAAGGTCTGTAGTTTGTTTGAGATGCTCTTTATGACGCGCTGGCCAAGTCTCTGATCCGTATAGTGAGTAGCACTGACTGCACATTGGAGTTGAAAATCCGGATCTTATTTTTGATGGTGAGTGCTGTTGACCTTCACACAGACTTGAGAGTAGTGAAAGCTTGTCTTGCTTTCTCGATGATCTTCGCTTTGATATCCTCGTCAGTTCCGTTCGCCTGTAGTTGAAACGATGCTTCCCAGGTAGGTAACGGAGGTTGTTTCTGTCAGGTTCCTCGTATTTATGCTGATTGTTGTCTGTTGTTGTTGTTGCTGTTGCCCAGGAATCTTCATCACCTCTGTTTTCTGTATGTTCACCTGGAGTCCTATCTTTGATGCTTCTTCTGCCAACTTGTTATTATTATTATTATTACATATGAACTTTCCAAATGAAGAAATTACTTAGTAAAACTGTGAACATGTATATTATATGAGTAATATAAGCACTGGCAAAAGTAAAAAATAGACACCAAAGTCAAACTACTTTGAAACAACCAATCAGATTGCTCAGCATTACAGAGTAGATAGTTTTCATAATTTTCGTTGCAAGTCTCATCCTGATTCAACGTTAAGGTTAGGGTAGGTTTAAGAGGTGGGTTTATGACTAAGGTTAAGATGAAACTTGCAATGAAGCATGCATTCTGTGATGCTGAGCAATCTGATTGGTTTGTTCAAGGTCGTTCGACTTTAGTGTCCATTCTTTACTGTTGCCTAAAACAAGTATTGGACATGCTCAATCATTGTCTATCTTAATTAGTGATACTTAATAAACATAACGGACTGTAGGTATGAGTCTAGTTGTAAAGGTGTTAACTCTATAAGAACAGAGTTACTGGGATTTCGAGTAGTAACGATTACAAAGATTAGATTAGATAAGGTAGATGGATGTGGATTACAAAAATACAAATAAACATTCGCATCTCACATCTCTTTAATTCTTCAATAGCTTCTTATTTAATATTTCATTCCAACAGGTTTGGTTATTATTAAGCTCAGTAGTGGAGAAAAGAGGAAACTCTTTTTATGTGACAGTCTTCATAGATGAATTAGCTATATAGTCTAGTATGAAAGAGATAGCGGCAAACTAGATGAAATTGAATTTACGCCACAACATAGTAATCAACATAACCAGTGTACATTGTTACATCTCTAATAAACTTAGGTTTTGAAGAAATTAAAAGACAATTCAGTGATGCAAATTTTCTTTATCGACGAAATCATCTTCAGACGCTGTACTGTACAGTTGTATTTATATTTACCAAAAATGAATAGTAGTCTGTTATTGAGTAATGGATGGGGTGGTGGCATAATTGATACAATTACTCAGAAGTGGCTTTACAGGTAAAAATCAAATTACGTAGTACTCAACGACATAAAGGAAGAAATGATTAGAAACTTGACAAGGTTAAAATAGTTATTGAGTAATAAGAGCCCATTTAACAAGTGTGAAGAGGGTGAGAAAATGTACCAAAGGAACATGTGAGAGGGATGATAGTAAATTAATTACTAAGCTAAAAGCAAAACTAAATCATAAAAAAATTTCCAGGGAACGACTAATGAAGAGGTTGAGAGCATGGTAGAATAGGAGACTGGACAAACTTTTTCTGCATACAGAGTTCGACGTTGCATTGACGAATCACAAACGCCTCCGTTTAGAATGAAAGATGGTATTTTTTTTACCAAATTTTAGTTGAGAGATATTGTAAAACCTTAAAACATTCTGTTGTTTTTGTTTGCGTTTTTTTTCGACGAATCACGATTACCTGTGACTAACTACATTTTTGATCATGAATGTAAACTCCTCATCTGTTTTAATGAAACAACAACCACTTAACAGTCTTGTCGGTTGCCTTAGTAGAAGTAGTTCATATTCAGTTAAACTAAACTGTGTACTGAAAATTCTCATTGAGACATTCAGAAGACAAAAAAGCATCCGGCCAAAGAGTATCCTTTCGACAAACTCCTCTTCCGGCTCTACCATTCTATAGCCAAATGTTCGGTTTAACTCCTAAAGCCTGAATTCGTGAAAGACAGCTTAAAAGACACCTTTGGACCAGTTGAAAGGATAAAAGATTGAAATGTTAACGATAAATTCACACTACCGTTTAACATATCTACCTTGCTCACTAATTAATGTACCACTTATGGAAACAGTAAACCTTATATTCGAAGAACTTATTGGACGAAACATCGATGTCGGCATTCCTGTATCTTTCATAAAAGAGATTCTTTCGAAATTCACAATAAATACAGCACTGGTTGAAACGGGTTCGAATCCCGGAAGGGACATGAGATCCTTCAAGGTGATTGCAGATACACCTTGCTGACTGGTGAGTGCCAACTAGCATGACGCATAAGTCAGGTAGGGCTTCCTATGGCCGATTGCCTTGAACCATCTATTATCAACAATTCACAGTGCATCATGATGGCGAGCCAACTAGAATGGTGGCCCCATCGCAAACTTAACTGAAGATAGAATTCAGTCTACACCAAAGAAAAGATTGGACACATTATGCTAGTTACTAATTATTATCCAATCAAACAATAAATTTTCATTTTTTTATTTAATAAGGAATTGAAATAATAGAGATTTGTAACTCAGGTGGATGATACTGAAATAGTTCTCTTCTCTGAGGTCAGACAAAACAAATAATTTAATAAGGAATTGTAGAGACAAATTGGTGTGGCGATGAGGGGGTGG